TCCTCTGATGCTGCTTGGCCTGCTGTGTTCATCCAGCTCTACACCTTGTTATCTTAAATAGACTTGACAGGATAGATGGGGAAAGGTTGTTTCCCATTGTAGAAGAGTCTTGGATCAGAGGGCATAATCTCAGAATAAGAGATCACATATTTAAATCAGAAATGAGGTGGATTTTAATCTCTCAGATAGTAATAAATCTATGGAATTCTTTGCACAGGTTGTTACAGAGTCTGGGTCATTAAGTATGCTCAAGGTTGAGATAAAAAGATCTTTAATCAGTGAGGGAGTCAAGGGTTCGGGGAAAAGGCAAGAACCTGGAGTTGGGGATTATCAGATATGCCATGATCTCTTACAATGGTAGAGCAGACACAATAAGATGAATGGCCTATTTCTGCTTCTATGTCTTATTGTCTTATGATGAAAGGAAAGTAGCCAGATTACAGAAAGGACTGCTAAAAATGTCCTGAGATCCCCATCCAGACCAAAATGAAACCAAAGTGAAAGTCCTGGTGTTTCCATTTGAACGGGGCAGGGTTGGGGGTGGGGGCTGGGAGAGGGGAGTACTTTCATTCAGACTGCTGGATACTGCACAGAAAGCCCATGGGACTTAGAGGTTGGGAGTGAGTTTGAATAGAGAATTCAAAAGGAAAATACGACAGATCAAACTGTGGCTTTAACCACAAATTTGAAACCAAAGGTAAACACTGTTCAGAGTGCAGGAGGGGTGAATAAAGTAAATGAGAGATATAAACTATTTTTGTCAAAAGGGAAGGCAATCCCTTTTTCTTCAAAGAAGACTGCTCAATCCAAAGATTTTAAAACAAGAAGATGAATCCTGAATGTTGCATTATTTGTTCATGTTTCTTGAAGACTCATAGGAACAGGCAAAGTAGCAGGAGTTTTTGAAAACTTCACAGGCAACAATGAAATAATGGGCAGGCAAGCATGCTACAACTGGAACATTTCAAACAGCAGATCAACTGTTAGCATTCATACTTTTGCAAGATAAACCTCTGAAAGCAAGATTCACTAATTCATACAATTTAATTGAAAGCATTAGTGAACTGATTTATTTGGTCATAGGAAGACAAATTGGTCATATCATTATCGACATGCCAAAGCCATATTGTAACAGGGAGGGAAATAAGCAAGAGCAAGTAGGTCAGGTGGTAAGAGCAGTAGAGGACAAAAGAGACAGTTAGAGTGAGGTAGACAGTTACAGAATCATAGAATCCCTACAGTATGGAAGTAGGCCATTCAGCCCATCAGGTCCATGCCAACCCTCTGAACAGCACCCACCCAGAGCCACACCCCTACCCTATCCCTGTCACCCTGCCTTTCCAATGGCTAATTCACCTAACCTGCACATCCCTGGGCACTATAGGCAATTTAGCATAGCTAATCAACTTAATGTGCACATCTTTAGACTGCGCAAGGAAACCAGAGCACCAGAGGAAACCCACACAGACACGGGGAGAATGTGCAAACTCCACCCAAGGCTGGAATCAAACCCAGGTCCCTAGCGCTATGAAGCAGCAGTGCTAACCACTGAGCCACCATCATACCCTGAACTCCTCTGCTATTTCAATATTTCCCATAACGATGTCACCGGATTCATTTTCAGTCTGACCTCTCTCTTTCTTTTCATATATTTAAATAAGCTTGTCAACACACAGCTCCAACAATACGTTCAGTACCACTTCCCTGATGTTTGAAATTTTCTTGAGTTCCCTCTCTTCCACTTCCTGATTTGCAACTATTTTTGCGATGTTATTTGTATCCACTACACTGAAGTCCAATGCAAAATTCTTTCCTTAACAAACTCACTTCTTTCACGCCATGCACTTAGTCATAACATTTAATCAAATTAAATGCACAAACTGCGCATGCCAGTTCTTCCAATCTTAATTGGGATGATAACTATCTTTTGGATTTCTTTGCTCTTCAAAATAAAACACAGAGTCAACAAATAAATGAATGAGTAAAATTCAAACCTGTTCCAAGTGCAGGGAAAGAAACTGAGGAAAATTTGTCATCTTCACACTTCTGAAGAATTGCACCAATAAAAGCTCGCATTTGATTTGGGTCTGTTTGTCCAACCATGTGAATTATCTTTTTACATTGTAAGTTTCCTGGATTTGTTGTTATTATTCCGTTGTTTGGCTGGAAGCCTTCAAAGTAGACATAAAATTATCTCAATAATTTTTTGAATATTCACTGTAGTATGGAAATAATGAAGGAAATAACAGTTCTGAAACTAATACTGCATGTTTCCTATGCATAAAATTTTAACTGCTTGTTATGATACATTTATTATTTACTGTGGCAGTGTTCATATTTAGTCCAGGACACACTTGGGGAATGGACCAATTAGCTGGGATAAGGGGATTACAAAATCAAAACAAAATACAAAGGGTTCGGTGATATGTTAATTGTAAAATGTAAAACATGTAAAATGAAGATGTAGCAGGATATGAGGCCCTGAGTTGAACCAAGGACAAAATCGGCCTAGTTTCTCGTTCTCGTGCTGCTGCAAGCAGAAATGCTTGGGACCTGAAGCGGATGGCGATGGAAGACTTTATTCATCAAGAAAAGATACTACTTCAACGAGTGTTCATCAGATCTGGAAGGGAGCAGTCTTAATTTGAATTCTGGAGGACATAATTTGCAGTGCATTCTTCCATTTATTGACTGCCACCTAACTTATTTAGGTTAGATGACAGTGATCATGTGATAGTTGTGGGAACTCCATTAACTCAAATATTGTGCCAGTTATGAAAAAAAAGTCAAGATCCAAATGGAAATGTTATTACTTTTAAACAGTTTGGAACATCGAAGAAAATGTAAGAATAGAATTGGTGACTTATGGAACTTAAAAAATTACAAACTTTATTTTTGGTACTCTGCTCTCAGATTACTGATAAATGAAAGGGCTGGGAGGCAGGTGGACTGCTAAAGATATAGAAAGCATTGGCAGGGAACCGCAATTTCTTCCCATCGCCATTGAATATTTTGAAAAGCAGGAACAGCAGCAGTACAGCTACCCACTGACTGCAAGAGGGGCCAAATAGTTAAGTTAACTGACTGATTAGCACTCACAATGCTCTCTTCTCCATTCCAGACATTTTATTGTGATATTATTGGGATTTTATGAGTAAAGAGACCACCAGGTATATCAAAGCAGCCTCCCAGAGTTCCCAGGAGGCTGAAATGGGTTCTTCCTTAATGGCAATCTCTTGGTCTATGTAGAGATCTTCCCCAGCAGTACTGCCTCAAGGGGACAGGTTCACCATTCCAATCTCTAGGGCCTACCAGCCTGGCACAGGCACACTAGAAGAAATTCTTGCCTGCCCTTCTCTTCCTTACAGATCCAAAGGGGGCTCTCTGTGAATAATGCAAACACGTCTATTGAACAGTTGACCTTTGATTTGGCCAGAAACTCTGAGAAATGTGCCACGGTCCTTAATTGAATGATAGCCGTGGTGTGGTCACTTACTTGGCTGATGCTTGTAAAATCCACCTCGGTAAAATTCTAGGAAAACCGAGGAAACTTCAGGTATTTTGAGAAATTGTGAACAGGGGCCCTGACAATATGTTGATTTGGGTCCAAGTGTCTAGGCATGAGGGAAAATCTTGGAAATGGGCATCACTGACATGATTTAGGAATGACCACCAAGAAGGTTAAGAAGTAGAGGGGCTAATGAGGGGTGAGGAGTTTGAGATCAACAACTTAGAAGCATTGTGAGAACCACAGTCTAGTAGTCTTGTTGCACAAGGTCGCGGAGCCTTGAGAGGAGTACAGTTCAGAGGAACGTAACTCAAATAACCTCGGCATCTTTTAAGAAATCAGGCACTACTGTTACACCAATAACCTGACACATCCAAAATTCGTTTGTCTGCCAATCTTCTTAATAATTGGACAACTCCTGATTCTGTCTTACTGCAGTGTTTGAATATTTTAAAATCTAAATCTATTTAGTACAGAAATTTGTTAACCAGGAATACTTGCAGACATTATTTAGCGTAAGTAATAAGGCAGCAAAACACAACTCTATAGTTACTGTACCAAGAGCTTTGCATTCATCTTCTACAGTTTGACCAGCAGCATCTAGTATCGCCTTGGAAACGCCTGAAATTTAAAGTAAAATGAATGAATAAATTTATAGCAGCATAAAACATTTCCTTATGTTATAAATGATCATTAAGTTAACCATGCAATAATCATATCCTCTCAAATTTGTGTGATCTGTGAGTAGCGCAAGAAACAGCAAAGCTCTTTAACCAATCAGAGAGTGGTATCTTAACTGAGACACACAGAGCTCAACCAGGAAGAATAAAACAAGAGTATAAGTAAAGTCACCATAGTCCCAAAGGACCATAGAGCTGGTCTCTGATTAGAGAGAGACAACTGCTGGTGATTTAACCTGATTTCAATGTGCAGAAAATGGAAAGTGGATTCAAAATATAGATGGATTTATAATGTGGTAAAATAGAGAGAAATATTAGAGCTAAAAAAAATACTGCCAATATTTTTATTCTAAGGGAATGCACCCTCACACCTATAAAATTATATCTTTTAGGGTCAGAGAGGTTATTCAATTGTAATCACTATTTATCAGGCCATTAAAATCTCACTTACTTCAGAATACATGAGCTCTTTTTTTCACATTTCCTTCATGCGCAATGAATGGAATAGTATCCCTAGTTCATGCCATTACACCGATCCCAAAACTGACCCCTAAGGGACTCCACTAAAACCTTCTTCCAGATCAAAGAATATCCATTAATCAAAGCGCTCTGTTTTCAATCATTGTCAAGTTGATCAATGAGAACTATAAGAGTCCATCTTCTGGAGAAGGAAGTTATCTCCAGCTGCAACATCTGGATTTGTGCAATGTAGCCACCAAATATAGCTCCTGTGACAACAATGAGGGCTAAATTCTCTACCATTACTATTACAATAAAGTCCAAGTCATTCTCAGCCGTGTTGTATTTTAGTATGTAAAATCTGGACAGGAGTTAAAGATTATTAACTATATTTTGCATCTTCAAATAATTTTTGAACACTGTATGTTATACCTGCTCTCAGAGTAAAATCACTATTTGATGAGTTGACAATGACATCAGTTTGCTCATTTGTTATGTCTCCTGTTACGATTTGCAGCAAAATCGGTCCTACTTGAACTTCAACATGATCTGTAGCACGTGAGGAAACTGTTCCGAAAAAATTCCCTGCAAAGGGTGACAATTTATAAAAGCACCAATATTAATGACACATCCATTATTTCTTCTATTTAAAGAAGTCTGCTAAAAGAAGCTGCATGCATGAGATTGTATTAATATAAGGATTAATTATATGTAGCATATGTAACAATAAACTAGACTCAGAGATGGAAAATATTAAGAATTAATGACTAATCGAATAATCATAAATGCTAATGATCAGACATATTATTACATGATTGTTAAGATGCAGGAGGCGGCCATTTGGCCCCATTGTGTCTACACTAGCGCTCTGAACAATTTGACTTACAAGCAAACTCCTGCCTTTTTCCGTAGACCTGCAAGATGTTTCTATTTAAATAACCCTCCAATACCCTCTTGAATGGGACATTTCAAAGCAGTGCATTCCAGACCATTACTATGCACTGTGTGAAAAAGGTATTTTTCACCTCACATTTGCTTCTTTTGCAAAACAATTAGTTCTTGATCCTTTCACAGTCTTCACCCTATCATTTCTGTACAGACACCTCATAATTTTGTACCAATTTTCTACACAGCCTTCTCCTTTCCATAGAAAATAGTCCCGACTTTTACAACTCTTCCTCATAACTAAAGTTTTCATCGCTGCAAGCATTCTTCTGTACACTCACTGATGCATTCACATCCTTCCTAAAGCATGGCACCCAGAACTCTGTACAATATTCTAGTTGAGGTCTAACCATCTGCATAAGATCAGCATGTCTTTTTTGCTCCTGTACTCCATGCCCCTTTTAACAAAGCCCAGAATGCTGAATATTTTATTAACAGTTCTCACTACCTCTGCTGCCATCTTTAATGACTTAAAACAGGTATACACCCAGCTCTCTCTGCTCTGGCACATCCTTTAGAATAGTACCCGTTGTTTCATACAGTCTTTCTAATGTCTTTACACCACAGTGTAATAACTCACAACTTTCCACATTGAATTTCCTCTACCACCAATCTATCAGTGCCCTACTGAAATTCTATCCTGTCTTCTTCGAGTTTACAATCCTGACAAGTTCTGCATCATCTGCAAACTTTGAAATTGTCCCCTGCAAAGCAAGATCTTGTTCTTGTATATACCTGTACATCAGGAAAAGCAAGGGTCCTAATACTGACCCCTACGGAACTCCACGAAAAACTTCTTTCAGATCAAAGAACATCCATTAATCAATGCTCTCTGTTTTCTATCCCTTAGTCAATTTTGTATTCATGTTGCTACTGTCCCTTTTATTCCATAACCTATAACTTACCTCGCAGGTCTGTTGTGTGGCATTGTATCAAATGCCTTTTAGAAGACCAAGCACAATACATCAACAGCCTTAGCCTCCTCAAAACAATCCTTTTAAAAGTTCCAGCAAGTCAGTTTAGACACGCTTTTCTTTTAACAAATCCATGCTCTTCTGAACTAATGTAGGTATTTTCACATGACTATTAATTCTATCCCTAACAATCATTACTAAAGGTTTCTTCACACCAAAGTTGTTTTCTTAACAACTGTTTGGTAATTGCTTGGCCTAGTTTTACGAGCTTTGCTAAACAATAATGCAATTGCTTGGAAGTATAAAGTCATAGAGATGTAGAGCATGGAAACAGACCCTTCGGTCCAATTCGTCCATGCCGACCAGATATGCTAAACTAATCTAGTCTCATTTTCCAGCATTTAGCCCATATCCCTAAAACCTTCCTATTCATATATCTATCCAGATGCTTTCTAAATGTTGTAATTGTACCTGCCTGCACCACTTCCTCTGGCAGTTCATTCCATACATGCAGCACCCTCTGCATGAAAAAGTTGCCCCTTAGGTCCCTTTTAAATCTTCCCCCTCTCACTTTAAACCTATAGCCTCTAGTTTTGGACTCCCCTATCCTGGGCCTCTAGCACACCTCCAAATCAAGGAAAGATGCAAAGATTGTTGCCAGCATCTCTGCAATTTCCACTCTCACTTCCTTTAACATCATTGATGTTCAACATCAATGTCCTTGGACACATTTCATCTAGTCCTAGTGTCTTTTCAACTTTAAATACTGACAGCTTATCCAATAGCTCCTCACCATCAATTTTAAGCACTTCTAGTGACTGAGTTATCTTCTTTGTCACCATTGACTGGACAGCATGTGCCTCAAAGTTAAAGACAAGTTCAAAGTATTCACTTAACACAACAGCCATGCCTCTTGCCTCCATGTATTTTACTACTGACGTGCTTATAGAAGCCTTTAGCATTTCCCTTTATGTCAGCTGCAAGTTTTTTTCATAATACCTTTTAGTTTCTCTTATTTGCTTTTTCACCTCCTTTCTGAACCTTCTGAATTCAGTTTGGCTCTCAATTCTATTTAATACCTGACACATGTCACACGCACATTTTTTCTTCTTTAACTTAATTTCAATCCCTTTTGTCATTCAGGGAAATTTGGATTAGTTTATCTTACCTATCCCTTCTGAAGGAATATACCTTGACTGTATTCAAACAATTTTCTCTTAAGATGGCCCATTGTTCAGCTATTGCTTTTTCCATGAGCCATGAGCCTCTCAGTTTATCTAGCTCAGCTCCATTCTTTTCCCATTGAAGTCAGCTTTCCACCAGTTGTTTATTTGTACTCTGCACTGCCCAAATGTTAATTCCCACTATCATGCTAAACATTATGAAACATTAATGCCTGTCCCCTAAAGGTCCCTTCATTTCATCTACATTGCCCATCTCATTCCCATGAATCAGGTCTAGAAATGCATCATTTTATTGTTGGATTGGACACATATCGCCATTAGAAATTCTCCTGAATAAAATCTAGGAAAGCCTGCCCTTCACCACTCTTTACACTGCCAATATCTCAGCCTATATATGGGTTATTCAAGTCTGCCATTAGAACTACTCTACAATGATTACACCTCTTCATAATTCCCGAGCAGATTTGTTCCTTTACATGCTTCCCACCAGTTGATGGTCTATCAATTTCACCAATCAACTTATTTATACCCGTCCTATTTCTTAGCTTAAGCCAAATTGATTCTATCCTCAAACCCTCTGAAACATCCTAGTTCTCCAGTGCTACTCTCCTTAACCAAAAATAACACTATTACTCCTTTTTTCCTACAGAGTGACACTTTCCCTAAGTGACCTAGGAAACTAAAACTCTCCTTCCTCCACCATCTTTCCAGCTGTGCATTAATCTGGTGTATCTTCATATTTCTATATTCAGTTGTATATGGAACTGGGATTAATCCAGAAATTACTACTTAGGCGTCCTAATTGCCAATTTTCTACTTAGGTCTCTAAATTTCAATTGCAATGTTGCATTCCCCTCCTACCCTCTGTTTTCAGCACCAATGTGGTCTACTAACTTCTGGTTGTTCACCTGCTCGAGAGGAATATCCTGCAGCTGCTTTGTGATATCCTTGACTCTAGCACCAGTGAAGTACCATATGATCCTGAAGTCACATTGATGGTTGCAGAAACTCCTGA